TCCTTCTTGAGGCGCCGGCGGGCGCTCGCGTACCAGGTGGAGACCTGCGTGAGGGTCATCTTGGTGATGATGGCCAGCATGATCTTCTCCCCCTTGGTGGGGTAGGGGTTCTTCCGGTGCTCGTTCAGCCAGGCCTTCAGCGTGCTGGTGCTCTCGCGGGTGGCGTTCTTGGGCCTGGACGGGTCGCCGAACTGGTACTGCCCGTAGGGGTAGAAGGCGGGGTGAGGGGGCGGGAAGGCCGGGGGCTGGACGCCGGGACTGTCCTTCAGCTCATACTGGGCGCCCTGAGCATGGAAGGGAGAGAGACAAGGGAGGGCGTTAGAGGCAGGGATCCCCCAGAAGGAGCCCCCCTTTCTTGGAAAAAGAAAAAATAAAGACCCTGGTTGGTGGACCCGGCAAACTCACCGGGACCTCTGCCTTCATGCCCGGCCGGGAGGCCTGCCGTCCAATCTGAAAGGAACCCCTGAGAAACCCGGGGCTGCTTCCCCACAACCTGCTTGCCCAGCTTCCTGGATCTGCCCATTTTCCCAGGCTTGTTCAATGCAACCAGCAGTAAATGAAGCAGAGGGGCTGGATTCACTTGACCCCAATCCTCTCCCCACCAAAGGAAAAAAAAAAAAGGAAGAAAAAGAAGAACCTTAATATGATTGCTAACATGTTTAGCAACTAGTGAAAATACAGCCAACTGGGCCAGGTAACTGTTCTGGTCACAAGTGGGTGGTGTGAAGACAGATTTTACCTGGGAATCCTCAGGGAGAAAGAGATTCTTTTAGCTACAGGTTTCCAGATAGATTTGACAGGAGATAGAGAGGGAGTCCCCCGGCCTTAAGGCCCAGATCTTTCAAATGGTTAAAGATCCCTTTTTCTCACTCCACATTCCCTCTCCCGATTGGATGAACTCCCCAAACAATCTTCTAAAATTGGGCTTGGTTCTCCTCTGCAGAAAAAGAGGGGCCTGGGAGTGAGCCTGAACTGGAAAGATTAGGATGAAAATGCGCTGTGCATCAGGGTATGAATTTAAAAAGGAGGAGGTGGCCCTGGGAAGATTAGAATTTTTTTTTTAAGGCTGCTTTCAATTTTTGTAGGAATAAAAGGGGGATCACAGAGTCTGAATCTGAGTATGTATGTCCCTTTCTCTTGGCCCCCTCTTTTGCATACTGGAGGTGCTGGGGAGAAATTCTATTAAAGCTGCCCAACAATACAAGAAGATGTCAATCAAACCTTCAGCCAAGAAAGATCTGCACCTCTGGCTGCTTTCTGTATTTGTGTAACTAAGGGTGAGAGTGTATGTATTAAGCAGGAGAACTCTTACGATTTTCTTTCTGGAAAACACGCCTAGGCCTCCAATTTTCCCCCCTCCTTTCTTTTGGCCCTTTTGGAACGTTTTAAACAAACCAAACAGCGGCTCCCCCAACTTTTCTTCACACCTTTCCATTAGGGGAATAAAAGCAACCCAAACTCTCCTTCTTAATATTGTATTTCCTGCATTCCTAAACCGGCTCTTCCTATTATTATTACTTTTTAAATATAGCACTTATTCGTTGATATATGTTGGTAATAAATCCAGGATGCCGAAGGTAGGACCTTTGGCTTTTTAATACAGATTTAAAACCCGGATTCCCGACCCCCGGGGCTTCCCTTGCCGGCTCCTGAGCAGGAAAGCAGCGAAGCTCTCCGATGCGGGAGGTGGCCCTTGCCTTCCTCCTGCGGCCCCCGTTCCATTCCCCGTCCCCGCGAAGGGAAAGTCGGGGAAGCGCAGAAGGAAAAGATTCCTCTCCCGGGAAGGATCTGAAAACGGCCCAGCAGCAATCGGTTTGAGGATCCGGCTGCGAGAGGAGGGTGGCGGGGAGAGAAAGAGAGGAGAAGAGAGAAATCGGACTACAACTGGGAGCTTTTTTCTGCGGACCGCACTCATAAGAGAGGCCACGGGGGAGAGAGAGAGAGAGGAAGGAAAGGAAAGAAAAGAAAAGAAAAAGAAAGGAAAATTCACTCCCACCCGCTTCCCGAACAGCAGCTGACGTTTTGCACGCCGGCTCGTCTCGTGGGGGAGAAAAGGGGGGGCGCTCCCGCACGC